GATATCTTGTGGTTTTTTGGTTATATGTATAATAGAAACCCTCAAAGATCAATATTTTTACCGGTTTTTTCCACATTTCCCATTGTTTTGCCGCAGCCTGTGTTGTATGTTTAATAGACCTTCTCCTCTTAGGAGAAGAGAAGGTCTATTAAACATACAACATGTTTGTGTTGCTAGGAGCATTAGGATGCTCCTAGCAACACAAACATGTTTTTTTCAATTTTAATCAGCAGTTCCTGAGATGAGCGCGTTCAAACATATAAACTCTTCAGCTTATATTAGCATAGATAATATAAATATCGCATATATTAAAGATAAAATTTCCACTTTAAAGAAAAATCTCATTAAACTTGTTAATACAACCTTCCCTCCAGCCTTAATTTGTGAAAATCGAATGTATTGTAAATGTGTGGCCGTAATTCGGTCTTTTCATTAACTAATTAATCCGTAGTAGCCTCAAATTAAGTACCCTCGAACAACAGTTTCATTTAAAGGCATTTTATATGTACAACTTAACGCACCAATAGTTTGACAAAAGTTTAATTTAATTTACGTTTCAATATGAAAGTATGATAGTAGATATTATTTTATGTAAAAATCATTTACACTTTTAAAAATGTAGAGTTAGAGTTTTTTGAAACTGTATATTTACGGTTTAAGCCACGAAATATATAAGTTATCTTATTTACAAGTAATCAATATATTTTTATGTCGGGCTGTAGTTAAAATAAATTGTATATACTAATATTTCACATTTTAACCGTTGAGCGTGTTTTATTTAAGTAAATTATTCAAATGTTAGGGATAATAAATTTTTATCTTCTGTCCCTTTTTAATTAAATAAAATAAGAATCCAAGGAAAGATATGCAAAAATCAAATACCATATTGTCACAATATTTATAAACGTGATTTTTATTGCCAGGCACCGAATTATAGACCTTAACTTTACGACATTGATTATACGACGAATAGCGTCATAAACAGCCGTATACAGCCATTAACTGATTGCCAATTCCGGCTAGTGTAATCGCAGAGGTACAATCAACTAGACAATTAGTGTACCATTTGATTGTACGACATAACTTTGATAAACAGACTATCTCATTTACTACTGGGTCATTGAGTAAGGAACTGATTGTATACATTGATTAGATCGGTTACTTAAAAAACGTCAAGTCCACACACACACTGGACACACTTATGTGTCCGTTTTGCTCATTAATTATTCTTTACAGGATAGTAATTGATCAGATTTCTGTGCCCTGCCTAACCAAATAACTTGTGAAAGATCAAATGCAAAATACGACTGTTTTTAAGAAGTTTTTGCGGAAGAAAAGAAATATTGTTCTATCAATATCTTCCTTTATGAGGCAACATTAACTAAAAATCTCTTAAACACTTTATGCAATCACCTTTATTTACACAACATATTTTAATGTCTCCCGGATCCAGGATTTATCTTTCAACGCAAAACATCGTCTTGCAACTGAGTCAGTAGGACAGTCCCAACTGTGGGAATAATAAAAGGTCAATATAGTCATTTGAACGGAATCTGCTCAAAAGGAAATTGTGACGTGTATATTTTTTATCAGATTTACTCAAGCACAAATTGTTTTATGTGGACAACGTACAAAGTAATGCGAGTGTGCATGTGAAACCTGCAAGGCGGGAACCGATGCAATGGACTGTGAAGTCTGTCCGAGCAGATATCTGGTTGCAGAGACGATTGTGAAAAATATTTCACAGAGCTAATAAACACATAGACGTACCTAAAAGAGAAATTATGTTTTACAAATGTGAATTTTCATGTTTTTAAACTAAAAGAACATTTCATTGCTTGATGTTGTAATTGTAATGATAAAAATACCATTATAAGTCTAATGATATAAAAGTACTAACTAATATTCAGACAAAAATTATAAAAAAATCATAAAAAAGTTATGTAAACATTTTTTATTACAGTACTAAGTAAGCTTTGTTCTTATTTATGAACTAAATTGTATAATTTATATTTATTATCAAACAAATATGAGAAAAGAAATACAATTTAAGCATAGCAACAATGGATGGCCGTATCTCTAAAATAAATAAATGAAAAGCGACAGCGAAAAACTAGAGAGAAATGAGATTTATTTATGCTGATGTGCCAGGTAGACGAAGTAAATTATCACAAACAGAAAAAATATAAAACTATTTAAAAAATAATTAGTTCTTAAACAAAAAGTTTTGTAACTTAAACAAGTAGAAATACACAAATACGGTTACTATCAACCGTATTATGTAAAAATATGATTTGAGTGATTCGAGTAAAATAGTCTTAGGCCGTATTCTAAAAGTTCTTGTGTCTATGTTAATTCACAGCGAATAATCAAAGCGTAACCCTATCGCAGCTCCGAAGATACGGTGGCAATCTTCATTCCGAAGCCTCGATCCATGAGAGGCATTCAGAATTCCGTGACGTTCTTATAAGGACGCCAATAACTATGCGAAGCGAAAGGAGGCTAAAAGTTGCAGTTTTTATGATGATTTCATTTCATCGTATTAGAGCGCTTTGTCTCAATCGAACCTCACTTAGTTGTACATTATTGTAGAAATTATGTGAAGAATTTGTTTGTTTGTTTATGCTTTACGTTTAAACCGACCAACTAACCCATTTAATTTTTGGCGCGCAATTAAAAGACAAAAATACATTTGAAAGATATTTGTATTTTTACATGGTATTTGTAATATGAGTACTTATGTTACTACAATTTATTTTGACCGCCTTTATAGCCAAATGATTAAACTTATTTTAGGGAGAGGCTCAGATTCGCAGAGAAACAATAAATCGTCACGGTTGGGCAGACAAGTCTGATCAATTAGTTGCCTGTAAAGTAACCGATAAGTAAAACAGACACAGAAATGTGTTCGCTCCTGGGGAGGAAATGTGATTCACACATAGCACATTCGATTGTAAATGACAATGTAGGCACTAAGTTTGAGCCCTCGGTCAAAAAATCGTTTGGATTGGTAGTACCTACCTCTAACACGAAAACAAACCCATGAACAAAGCTTTGGAGTTAGCTACTTATATAATAGAGATAACAGCTGATCGAACCAGTATCTGTCATCGAAATTATAGATATCCGAAATTAATCATCCATTCATCTAAGTGCATAATATAATTGGACGAGAGTCTAATGGCGTCCTGTGATTACTGATTATTTCCGCGTTAATTTAATTAATAAGACGACAATTACTGTGTTTGATTTAGAGTTAATTATTGTTTGGTAAATTAATCGGTAATAATAAGGAATACTTGACTCAACTGACTAGTTAATAATTGACTGAATATTAATAAGAGAAGGATCCGAATCGCGGTTGAGGCAAAAGATATATCAAATTTTGAGAAAATGTCTTATACACCACAGACAACCCATGCGGATTGGTGCAGCCTGATGAGATACAGCTTTTATTTTTTTTAAAGAGGAAGTTACAAATATAAAGGTACTCAACACATATAAACATTCCATCCTCCCAAAGATAGTATCAGTAAATGTAATTTTAACTGGATGATAAAAATATTACAGTGGACCACGAACTGTAATATTTTTGGATTTTTTGTCATATATTTTATTTAGTTTTTAAAATATCTATGCATTTTAACCATTGTTTGATAAAAAGGTTTAAAAACCTTTGTGAAGCCGTTTGTGTGTCGGGGACTAACAAATGTTAAAAAACGTGTTCATGTATAGGAGTTTTGTCGTATACGAAAAACAAAATGAATCATTGTGAAATTTGAAACAAAAAGATATTTTTATCTAAGTCTATTTTCTATAGTTATGCCTTTAATACACTATTAAATAAAACAGTTTTAACGGTTTAATAACAAAATACCAGATTTCATGTTGACTTTAGGGACACACCTGCTTCAGTCCCCCGCTGACCAAATAAATAAAAACAAGTTTCATATTTTTCGCTTTTAATTCTTTTTTTTTAATATTGTAAGCCTTAAGTTTAGACGTCAAACGATAATATTATTTTCCCAACGTAAATTTATCTTAAGATTCGCTCTTGGTTACCTGGATTTATATTTTCCGTGGATCTTTAGCAAGGGTTCTTATTCCGAAAATAAATCCCAACGCAACCACTTCATTACAAAAGGCTTAATTTTCAAATCTCCAACCTAAGCGGATTTACATTTTTAACATCAGGAATAAATGGGAATGTATTAAAAAATACTGTCATTTTCAGTGTTGTTTTGTTTTGCATTTTGAGGATGATTTTTTGTCTCCTTTCAGTCTATTTGAAACATAACGTGTGACAAAAGATACAAATCTACACTTCGGAAAACTTAACTACCAGTTATAGATTGCGTGAACGGAATAAATTCTGTGTGAAAACTATGTGAACAACCAGTATTCATAAAACCCCAATTTGTCCCAAACGGCACATACATCGTCGCTGATTCACAAAGTGTATTAAATTACCAGTATTAAGAACTTCGTAATGGTGCAAAAAATATTTCACATCGCCGGTGGTGCATACCGGTAAACTTTTTGTTAAAGTATTATTTTGTGGTCACATTATCCTTTCATTTTTGGGTTCCGTTCCCAAAGAGCAAAATCGGGACACTAGTACCTTTTCGTTGTCTGTTCGTCTGTTTATCTAACACCCCACTGTAACCGAGAGCCCAGACTAATTTTAACAAATTTTACAAATGCTATAATAACACAATAATGAATTGTATATTTCAAAATTTTTAGTTTTCAACAGTTTATGAAAAAAGTTTAATTAATAGTGTTAAAACTTATTACTTACTCCCTTTGATAACCAGAGACAAAATCAGTAAATTCGAGACAGCACTTGCCAACCAACAACGCTCAACCTCAAAAATGTTGTAAAAATTATGATGAAAGTAAATAAGCGGAATCTTTTCAATTTTCTTTTATTATCCGTATTAGTCCCTAGCGTCAGCGGCGAGTATGCAAATAATATTAAAGAACAAAGCAAAATTGCAATGAAACCTCAGCAAAATAATTCGGGCGAACCCTCCAAGTCTGTGATTACCGTTATGTTCTTGAATAATACTGAATCCGGGAAAGATACTAAGCGAAACGCGAATTGCTCGGATGCTGCTAGTAATTTGAGTAAGGATGCTTCGAGGAGAAGCAGAGATATAGTAAATAATTACAGCAGCTTAGAATGTGTGCAATGCGATTCGAGGGATATGCCTAGAAGTGATAAATGTTATAGTGGTGATATGTAAGTGCGTCTTTTGAATGTGTAAAATAACTACAAGTCACACTAATTAAAATTTGTGTGATCTTATGAGTTCAAACTAAAACTAATTTGTAAATAAAAAAAATAAATTTATACCTATAAGCTAGCATAAATATGAGAGTTTTAAAATAGTTTTAATATATAACCAACTTAGTTGTTACAATTTAAAAAGTTATTGCAATTACTAACAACTTAAACTTTTACATTTTCATCCCATAATAAAGTCTAAAAGAGATTTTTTTAAACAGGTACTTTGTAAAATGTCTATTTAAAACTACTTCTGGTTCTTTGTATCTACATTTATATGCAGGCCTTGCTAACTTATTAACATTTACTAAGATTTCTTCTCAATCTACATTTGCAGAGATGCCACAGTAAATTGCCTGGACGGGGAAGAATGCCATACCGAAGTCCACCCACAATACATTAAGAGGGGCTGTATGGCCCGAAGCAGGTTAAACAGGACATTTGTATGCAAATGTCCGCTGTGCAATGACAAACCATTTGATGACGCCGCTTCCTACGAATACAAGACCGTAAGAGATTGGGAATATGACAATCGTCGTCTCCAAACTGCAGTTATTGGGCTGGACTTGCTGTGTAAGGTTTGCGACACTAAAGGTATAAATCGTGGTGTGGATAAACAGTGTAGGGAAGGAAAAGAGTAAGTTATAGAAGTATTAGTTTTCGTATTAAACTAACAAATAAGAATGGACTTAAAAAGCCAAATTAAAACTGCATTGTTGATTAGTAAACATTAAAGTTGATTCAATATATTTTAAGCATGTATATATTGCATTTTAATCCGTTGCAGTGATTCGTGTTAATTAGAATTAGTGGTAAAGACTAATTAAGCTTTAAAGTGTAAGGAAAGTTTGCTATGAAATGCTGTAAATCATAAAAATTTTATAACGTATGAAATGTTTTGAGGATTTTTTTTTATATTGAATAGAAAAAATATTTAAATACATATTAAATAATTTTAGGTCAGAATATATGGTTTGTGGAAAGAACCAGTTGTGCTTTACGAACATTGATCTAGGATCAGATTTTGTATCGAGAGGATGCGTGGATTTGCCCGTTTTTAATTATTTATATTATTTCTGCAATAGAACATTCTGCAACAACGAGAGAATTAATCAGCCTCTTTTTCTAAAACGGAGGAGTGGACGTGGTTTTTTAACTGAACAAGGATATGATTCTAAAAATGAGTATACAAAAATTCTCGTTTCTCAAGCTTCCTTTATTGCAAAAAACCTATATATTATTAACATAATCGTGATTTTGTTTCAAAAGTACTAAGAGTTTATTGTATAACCTATTTTTCTGAGATGTCAAGAAACAAGAAATCTTTATCGCTAACATATGTGAAATGTCATTTTTTATTAATAGTCACTCAAAATGATTTTCGTGAAAATATTTTACTTTCTAAGTGTTTACACGTGTTTCTGTGAGGAAGTGAGAAAAACATTACCCTATCCAAGCTTCAGAGAAAAGATTGAGGAAAACACGATAAGAACTATCAAAACTGAAAACCCAGATAAAAATCTTTACTCGTTTCTTTTTCAAAATCTAAAAGAAATATTTACCATACCGGATGAACCGACCGTCTTACTAGACGAGGAAATCGAAGATTCTACTATGATGATTGAGAAAATAGTAAATATCGATAAAGAGCCGGCAAATGACGTGATGTATTTAAATGTATTTGCAAATAGTAAAAATGTAACGGAAACCTCGAAACATATTAACAAAGAAAATAACAAGAACTCGACTATGATACAAGAATTAACAATAAAAAATGACTTACTAAATCTTTCAAGAGTTTTCAATATTCAATTAGTTGGTGGCGATGATAGAAAAATCAATTCTCTGGAATCTTTTGACTATTCTAAAACTGTTGTGGAAGAAACAACGACAAGTACACAACAATACAACACAACTAAGAGATCATGTATTTTTTGCAATAATATTGACATTGAATCTTGCAGTGATCCCAAAAATAAGCTGTTAGTTTTATTAGAATTACTAGCGATATATCACTAATAGTTATCTCAGCGATACCATTTGCATTTTTAAACATCATATAAGCTCCGTTATAGTTGTTTTGTGATTTAAACTTTGTTACAGTATACCTTCAACCTTATGTGAAGAAGATGAAGACATATGCTATTCTCAACACACACCATTTGGTCTAGTAGATCGTGGGTGTTATAACATTAACCGGAATATCACTACGTACTTCTGTGCTTGCAACCTCTGTAACTACATCGCAATTTCGGAAATGCCACACATATTTTCAAGAAAACAGGACTGGGTAGAAAACGTCATAGAAATTACTAGAAATAGACGACTCCGACAATCTATATACAAGGATATGTCGTGTCTACGTTGCGAAGTAAATATAACGACGAAAAGTGGGGATATTCTTGATAACACAAATTGTTTGGAAGGAAATATGTTAGTATTTTATTAAGAAATAGATCTTAAAAAAATAAACTACAATAATAACTAGTTACAATTAATGTGTACTAATGAAGCAATTATAACGGTTTATAACACGAAATATTTTTAATTATGCGGTTACGGAGAAATCATGTCATCGAAGATGATGGACTCGAAAAGTACATTCGCTCATTGTTTTTTGTTAATTATAGGAGGACATGGCATGGGGGTTTACTTGATGGTAGATGATATACCGCAGCCTATAGCATCTAAACAAGATGCGCTGCCGACTTATTTCGGCTTTGGATTGAATTCGGAGATTCACAGACTGAAACCGAATTTTTACATCTGCGGACGGTGCTTCGTGACCCGGACGGAATTTCTATAGGAATATAGAAATTCCCCAATTTAATATAATTTGAAGCCGTAGTTATTCGTCAAATAATAAAGTTTATATGTACCTATGTACTTTTGAAATATCTTAAATACAATACTATTAAATATTATATTATTAGATAAGAATCAATAATCAACGTGAGCGCATCGTATTAATAAAATAAATAGTTAAGTGTTTTAGGACTTCTTGAGAGCGCCCTTAATATTAAGGGGTCATATACAATTAATTTACATTGAATTAATTTCTAACTTCGATGTTAGATAACAGCTACTTTTTTTTATTTCAGCGGGGGGCTGCCTCTTCAGTTATGTGCTGAAAATGAGATTTGTGCTGTAAAAGCGATACGAAGTGAGGGATATCTGTGGCGTGGATGTGTGTCTCGGCCACTTTACAACTATTGGTGGACACTCTGCGAGACGGATCTCTGCAACGTGGATGCCCTTGTATCTATGTTCGATAAACACTGATGAAATACCAAAATAGACTTTTATTGCACTTGAACGGTTTAAAACGCGTTTTTTATTTTTTTTAGTTTCAAACGCTTTGCAGCCGCCGTGGTCAGCGAATAATGGGTCTCGTAAAAGAAACATTGGGCCCTAGATAAAATAATTCAATTAATTTATAGGTATGTCCATATATAAGAAGAAATAATTCTGATATATATTTTAGGCTACGCGTTTATGTTACTGTAGTATTATTTCAAGTGGAATGATCGCTCGAGTCTATATCCAAACCGCTGGTCTGGAATATTAGATGTTTTAGTTTCCTTTAATACTTGGAAATGTTGGAGATGTTAAAAATTCTATCTTCTACGTGCTTTGAGTCGGAGATGATCTATCATAATTAGGTTTAAAGGATCGTAAATTTTGAATAGATGAAGTGGAAGATTTGTTCCCGTTCGCGTAAAAGGAGGCGCCTTCCTTCAAGATATTAAATTTTTTTTTATTACTTATATGGTAAGTTGCAAAGCTATACTAATAAAATAAATATTTTTACCAAAACTTAACAAAGTTAACATAAAGTACACTAATTCTACTGATGCTTTGTTGTAACTATCATAAGTGAACATTTTAATCCAATTGTATGAACATTTAAATAAAACACTTTTGACGGTTTAAAACGCTTATTATATTAGTTAACTTGTTTACAATTTATTAAATGTGCGCATTGTTATACTATCGTCGTTGCCTAATTATTCGTTATTCAGTCCTATTTCTTATTCGCATCTACTTAACATAACAATGTGTAAATAAACTATATTAATATGTATGTAAACTAGAATTACATTATGAAAATCACAACAAAATATAATACACCTCATGAAAACCGAAGTAGCTTGCAGTACATATTTCTTTTCCGCAAGAGCTGCTTGATATAACCAGACAGACTTAATGCAGCTTTAAATATTTTAAAATAACACCGACATCATCTCTTTTATATGTTAATACGATATTCGCATGGGATTTTGTTTGTTTCTTGCGAGAATACTTATGCATTTTTTAAACTTTACAAAGAATAACTGTGAATCTATGCTTAGTCTCAGTCGAGATTTCTAGAATTATTTTGAAATCTATACTTATAAACTAGCTATGTTAAGGACTTCGTCCGCGTAAGACAGTTATTTTGGGCATCAGTATTCGTTTTTGCGTGGTCACGGGAAGACTCCGATCCCGAGGCTGCTGCAAAGCATCCGAAACGTCGGGCCGAAGTTAAAAATCATTTCCAAATAAGTTTAACTAATATATCGCGTTTTAAACCGTTAAAGTGTTTTATTTAAAAGCTACGACGTGGTTCGCGTCCTTATAAGTGTTTTCAGCGTTTTTGCAGCGTATGCAACCGACATCCACAAGTATGAATAATTTACCCATTCACAAGAAATGATGCGTTGTCAAAACTTGCTGATCTTAATATGCCTACCTTTTCTGGCAGGCCGTCGGAAATCTAGATCCTACCTTTGGCATACTGCCAAGATAAATATTAGGTATCCTTTGAACCTTGACCTTATCAACTTTGATGTCTGCTATTAGGTTTACAAATGTTCCTACAAAAAGCGAAATGTGTTCCATCAAGGGAAAAGGGGCCGATTTGTGTCCTTAAAAGAGATAAAATTTTACCTACAGGCAAGTAAGTTCTTTTTATTAACTGCCCGAAAATTAAAAGCATTGCATGTGACTTTTTGAAGTTGTGGGAGATTAAATACTGTCTATAGTTTACGCGAGTAGTACACATTTAAATAAAACACTTTAACGGTTTAAAAAGCAATATAGTAGTTAAACTTATTTGAAAATGATTTTTAACTTCGGCCCGACGTTTCGGATGCTTTGCAGCAGTCGTGGTCACGGGGAGACTAAAGATGGAGGATGTCTCTGACGTCAAAGTAAAAATTGGTATTTGGCGAAACAGATGGCGCTAGCGTAGCAATTTTTACTATATACAAATCTCCCACAACTAAATAAAATACTAACTTTAAAACGCGATATATGAGTTAAACTTATTTGAAAATTGTTTTAACTACGGCCCGATGTCTCGTGAACCGAGACTGCTGCAAAGCGTCCGAAACGTCATAAATTTTCAAATAAGTTTAACTAATATATCGCGTTTTAAACCGTCTAAGTGTTTTATTTTAATTTGTACTACTCGCGTAAACTACAGACAAAATTCAAACAATGTCTTTCACAAGCGAATTGTGACGTCCTACAAGAAGTAGGTACACAAAACTTTATACACACACTTTTTTTTATTTAGCTCCTTCTAGCCTTGCATATTCTTTCATAAAAGTGTAATATATGTTAACGCTCTAGCCAAATAATATGCTTCAAAAGTGCAATATTTCTCATTCACTAGTTATATTCTCTTTATTTTGTATCTAATCTACCTAAGAGAAACTTAACAATACAAACTTAAAACATTATGTTCATAAAGACCTAGCTTTTAATAAAGAACTAGCGTCAGCTACAATAAACTCCCTTTGTCTCATAGTTGTATAAAGAGAGCCTGCTTCTGAATTCTGATAACGCAGTGCGGTAAAAAGATTGTTGTATACAATCGACTTACGGCCGCCTTTATAGGAAACCGTTCTTGAGCTGCTCAACCGAGTGTACGATGTTGAAGCACAAGATAAGGCTTTATGAGAGCCTACGCTATCCTATAATTTTCTACTTCCAACCAGAGGCTGCCATACGACACAGGTGGAGATAAATAGCTGGTTCACTCAACGCCATTTGGTTTAAGCAAAGTTATATTATTATTACTATTAGCCAAATGAAATGTGATAGAATCAGACTTTAGCTTCTTGTTGACGTATTTATAAAATTACTTTTTTGTATAAAGCTACAATTGGTAAGCTTTCATAAGCTGTTATTTTTTTACACAATATTTTTAAAGTCAATGCTTTTAATAAATGTTTGTGTGTGACTATCTGTAATGTTTGTGTGGTTTGCGTTTTACATTACTCATATAAGAGATACTCTCATGCAATCCAAAACATCTACCAGCTCTAATATCAAATCTCATAGATTTTTACAAAACGCAATATTTTATCTTGACGTAGCTGTTTTAAATAATCTGTGGCTAACGCTGTTTATCTGACAAACAAAACATAACGCGTTACGCCCTTGGCGGAATAGCATCTTGTTTACACCGACTTCGTCAGGATTGCAAAAATCTTTTCAACCTCGCTCTGACACATTGGATATTACACGTTAAGTGGGCATTAAATACACAATTTGTTACGTGTTGAAAGTAACGTGGATATCGCCAGGGGGTTCAAAGGTCCAACGGCGTGCCTTTTGAATTCCCTAGTGTGATGAGAAGTGTATTTTATTCCCGTTTATAAACAGCTTCAAGACCAAGACCAACGCACAAATGAAGCGAAGAACACAAGGAATCATAACTTACTCAAATTTTACCTGAAGGACGAAAACTGGTAGAGATTCGTGGTCCATAGCAGCTATGTATGTCTAATAAAGTGACAGTATAAATTCTTTGGTCCCAAGATCAAATTTTAAAATTTAATAATTATTAGAAGAGTTTTTGGAGTTATTTTGGTTTTTTTTTTAAATTTTTTTTTTTTTTTTTTTTTTTTTTTTTTTTTTTTTTTTTGGGGGGGGTGGGGTGTGTTTTTTGGTTTTTTTTTTTTTTTTTTTTTTTTTTTTTTTTTTTAAAAAAAAGGGGGCTTTTTTTTTTTTTTTTTTTTTTTTTTTTTTTTTTGGGGGTTTTTTTTTTTTTTTTTTTGGGGGTGGTGTGTTTTTTTTTTTTTTTTTCTATATGGGTCTCCTATATTTTATCGTCTACTAAGTGAACCAAATTTTCGTCCATTGTTTGAAAAATGATTTACAGTTACAAATGGTTTCTTGGTTGATACCGGACAATAAGCTTCAGTTCAAACTTTTCCTGTACTATACTCACACGACTCATTACCATGCTATTCGTTACTATGTTATTACGAGCCGGTAAGGACGCAATGATCATGTCTGCGTGATTACCTATTTTCTTTTCGTTTCTGACGCGCCTCGAAACAAACACTCGTCCGAAATAGATTAATGATACACTTGATTTGTTTTAACACTGCATTCGGTACGTTAAGGTTGATTACTGTTTAATTTCATGTTACAGTTAGTCATTAAAAGTTGTTTTTTTTCCTAAAATTTCTTGCATACTTAAATTTATACAAAATATTATTCTTTCTAAATTACCACATCTTATATTTCGTTTAAAGCAATTTAGTAAGTCTATTTCCATGTAAATAAAATATTTTTACGCGAAATATTTGTTAATTTTATTCACGGCCCGACATTTTGGATGATTTTCTCTAGTTGGCCCATGGTCACGGCGGGACTGAAGCTATTCATTGGTATTTGGGGGATTTACCTTACAGAACAGACTTAAGTTAATTTATATATTTCGAGTTTTTAACCGCTAAAAGTAAATGTATTGCATTCACGTAAACTTCAGACAAAATTATTTATATGTATTATATATAGTTATATGTTATATATTATATATATTAATATGTTATATTACCTTACATTAAGTGAAATCCATATCTGTCCTCGTTCATTATAAAAAAATATGTTGCGAAGCTATAAAAACGCAGTTTCTTATAGGGACTTTTAGAAGTAAAAATAAGTCGGTATTTAGTATGGGAATAATTTAATTTAAACTAATATTCTCAGCAATTTAGAAGCACTGCATCATATTTCAGTCTTGCAGTTATAAGACAGACGTAGTGGTCGGAAGGAGACCACAAATGCTCGTTTCCACATTGCGTCGCCACGTTAGTAGTTCATTAAAAAGATATATGCGGTCATTACCGGAACATACAGCATTATGCAAACCTTATAATAACCTAATAGGTCCATTTGTCTGTGAAATTAATATTATTTATAACATTAATAGTTTATTACCGTTAATAGTACACGAATGAAATTTAGTAATGAGTGCCTTTTAAAAATTGGGATTGTGCTTT